ATCTTATGTGTTTGTTGAATTCTTCTCCTTGAAATATTGTAATTGAAGTCTTAGGGAAATCAGTTGCTGGACTGTCTAAAATTGTAAGTACTTTGTGCGATGGAAACTAACTTTTCGTATTCTGAAATAGCTAGGTGGCTAAAATTCAGTCCTAGTACTAAAACATATTGCTTAATTAATAATGTCAAGAAGACCACTTCCAAACCATTTACCGGTGACAGCTCCTTCAGATTTCTCTTCCTAACAATTTCAGCTAGAAGACGTTAAAGCTCGACCATGCCTCAGCTTCTGAAAAATTGTTTTGTAGCCACAAGTACATCTGCGTCTAGTGTTAAGAAAAAATATATCCATAATTTGTTTGCTTGAAAACCCACTACGAGTATCTGCATTCCACATTCTTTCACACAGAGCACAGCGACTGGTAAGCAAGAAAGCAGATCATGCAGATAAAAAAATAGTGGCATTCACTATCATTCAGATATGAATATAGATACTCTTTGCACTGTCAATTACCTCGTGTTATAGTCTAAGTAAGGAACTGGACACAGCGAGTCGAAGAATATTTAACAGAACGATTGCTAAGATCATAATGTCTTCATCCGAAGAGGAATCAGTTCAAATCTTTGCTGTTTAGTTACTTATATGCATATGTTTTCCGTAGAATTAGTCACATTTCAGCAGTATATAGATATCAGCATCGATCCTTATGTAACAGACTTACAGTCAACCAGGGCGTTCAAGGTACTCAGCGATTAAACTGGCCAACTCGAACACTAGATTTTTATTCTGTCCAGCATGTGTGGGATCATATCAGAAAAGAAGTAACTGTTTTGCATTCTTCTTCTGAGATCCTTAAATGAGCTACAATTACAGTTACGAGACATAATTTTTTTTTTTGCTTTCGTTTGAAATATCTGACAATTAAATAAACATCATGGAAAAAAGCTGAGCGAGCGTTCACGCATGCCAGAGGATAGCATATTCCCTATTAAAACTGCGCTCATTTGTTTAAACAGAAAGGTACTTGCTGCAAATTGCATTAATCATATGCTTTCTAAATGATGCCTATATATATTTGCAAAAATATAAGATGTTCAGTTTTTGCAGCATGAAGTATGTCATTGTATGATCTATATTTTGTGCCAAATGTTTTATTCTATCTTATTTGCTTTAAAATGTCTTCCCTAAAATTATTTTTTTTAATTTTTGAAACGAAATATATTTTAATATTAGTAAATTAACCACGCAATGCTAATAAATAAGGTTTAAAATATAATAATGCACAAAATAATTGCATAACATAATTTAAGCAAAAACGTAATATAATTTAAGCAAAAATTATAGAGGTTTTCTAGGCAATATGCTGTTGATAAAATGATTTCATGTTTTAAAGTAATTGCAGAAACCAATTGCACCTTCTTAGTTAATCTTTCAGTGTATCAGTAAGCAGGAAACATAAATTCACTTATTAATTCAGTGGCTGAAGCTTGAGACGCATCATCTCTTCTTTTCGACTGATTTGTTGTTCTTACAAAAAGGAAAGCTTACAAGAACACATACTTTTTCAAACGGTATCAACTGCCTAACACTTTACATGAAATTTAAAAAATATGTGTCATAACAGAAAATGTAGTTTCATAAAAAATAATACGCAGGAACTCAATCCGAGCTTATTCTCTTGATTTCGGTATTTGTGAAAAACTACATTGCCTTTGAAATATAACTCTGTTGCAGGTTCTTATACGAATAATAACCTTTGTTATAATGTATGCTGAAAAAGTTCTCATACAAAAACAACTGTGACTATAATGTATTCAGAAAAGATACATAAATTCACTCGTAGCTCATAAAGGAAAAAATATTACATTCATGGTAAAACTGCGTTGACAATAACCCTTCGCTCCTTTCCCCATCTTAAGCAGGAAAGTTTTTAGAAAGAACATTTGAGGCTGCAGCGCATCTACTCGGAACTTTGAAACAGAAGCAAGTTTTCGCTACGTAAATCAAATGACAGCCATTTCTGCTTTTTAATGGCGCAGAAGAAATTCTTTTTCCACGCGGTTGAATTCTGACCTACTCCAACAAATTCCAGCCTCAAAATTTAACGAAAGTATTCCACTAGTTAAGAATAAGTCGGTTGCTCAATTGAGCATTTTATTTCTTCGCATTTTTGTGGGGAAATGGTGACATTTTGGAAGCTGTTATGCATTCTTCCATGCATAGACTTCGTAATTACCAAACTTAATTTTCCAGGACGCTTCTTCAGCAAAGCAACGCTGGATTTTAGGATATTTTTAGTTTATAGGGATATTTGGTTGTCCAAATTAAAGACTGAATACTTGGATGATTTTGATAAAGTTCCTTGTGTACAAATTTATTTCTATTCATTTTAGAACGGTTACTGTTTTTAACAATTTAATCAAAAATGTACAGGTGACGTTATTAAAACATGAAAAGAGAAGACAATCTTAGTTTAAGTTTTATGTTACAGGCAAAGTGCTCCAGCTTCTAAGTTAGAACTTAATTATCACAGTTTCGCTAACTTTATTTCGTCAATAAAACAATTGCTGGTATAAATATTTCCTGGACGTTATCGTCAGTAGTATATTATTTTTAAATGGTAATCTCTACAACGGAAAGCCACCTAAAATGATTATTATAAAAAATAATGACAGAGTTCAGCTAGTGTAATTTTTCAGGTGTAGTTAGTAAATAATAATAATATAGATGAAGAAATGTGTTTATTGCTTTCAATTCGCTTAATTTCTTAATCAGTAATAGACAGATAATGTTTGAAAGTAGTATTAAATACTGTAAGACTTGACGAACAATAACACACTGGCGCGTGAAAGATGAAAGTATTTTATTTCGAGCCGTGACAGCATGGTTTGTTAAATCATTGTGTTACCTTATTAAATTCGAAGCATATTATGCTTTCCATAGTGGCAACACATAGGTTTCAAGTCGCCGAATTTGTTAGTCAAAATATGTGAATTCTAAATAGAAAAACCGATGCCTGTATCAGAGCAACAAAGTTTATTTTATTCCCATAACGTGTTTAAATAGAAACAAAAATGCTTAATACAATTTAAGATAATAAAAATAAAAATTAATATTATAACTTTTCTTTAAATAACACGATTTCCTGATACATGAAATCAGAAACTAAATTACCTTACATCAATTACCATTTTAAGTATATTGTCTCAATCAGTCTCAAATTTATGATCTGATAAAATTACCAAAACATCCAGGAATTAAAATTTCCTAAAATGTTTGCTGTTTACCAAAATGTATTGATGTTTATTTAATGCTTTTCAATTTAACCTCAGCACCAAGACTTCTTGTTGACATACTCTCTTCATGAATTTGCTCGCATTCGCACTTCAATTACTGTCTTACAGCTTATGATATTATGTTGCCTCAGTCTTATTCGTTCTTGATTCTTAAGGTATGTTGCCTCAGTCTTATTCGTTCTTGAGTCTTAAATGAATATTAAGATACATTAAAGTACCTTAATATTCATTTTACAGTATTCGATTTTGGAGTATTCCATTTTATTACACATCAAATATTCCTTTCTCGGTATTTGGTCTTATGTGACCAAAAATTACAATGCATCAGTTATAACTTATTAACGAATGTAACGGCGTTCGAAAGAATAACTTAAAATTCTTTCGAACTATATAACGGTGTTCGAAAGTTTCACTTTGCAATACTTAAAAGTATTTTGCTTCAGAACATATTTTGCATCAAAGCAGAAGAGTAGATTTTATTTTGAAATATATTTGGTTTTTCCTATGGTTACGTCAACCAAGATTTAATGTTGAATGCATTCAGAATTTATCAAAATAGTTAAGCAAGATGTTTTAAATAGTGATTTGAATAACTAAAGGTATTATCTGCTTTAGGGTAACATTATAAAGTTTATCCTAATTGACACATAAGCAAGATGTTTTAAATAGTAATTTGCCTAGCTGAAGGTATTTAAGTACTATTATAAGGTTTATTCTAAATCACACATTTTTTCTCTTAAAATCTGACTATACTCATACTGATGCTTCTTCTTTCATCAGAACATGTAATTTGTAGGAGTTTGAATCTGAATATGTCAAGAAAAAGGCACTGGCATTGGCCATGACCTTAAATAAAACTCTTTTGTATGCAGCCTTCACGAGCTGGAGACCTGTGATCTGGTTAGTCCCCTTTTTAGCTGGCACATGTATATACCTGCTTACCTTTGTTAGACACCAGCTGTCCCCGTCCTCCGTCACCTGCCACACGTAATTAGTTCCTAAAATTTAACGAATCAACTTCCTAGACTAAAATTTAACTTGCAATTACATATAATTAATATTTTTCGGGTTTTCTGTTATTCTTCAAGTAGAAGTATGTAACGAATTTTAGTTGTTTGATTTTATATTGCTTTTTTGTTTGTTTTAAACTACTGTGTTTGTAATAGAACCCAGGACGAAAATGCATCTTGTAGACTTAAAGATTGGACAAGTTTTCTTAAAATAAATTGTAGTTTAATCATACATCAAAATGTTACAGGATTATTAAGCGAAGTTAAGTTAGAAATTCATATTTAATGATTTAATGGAATTCACTTTTGCTTAATGTAATAGTACATTCAGTTAATTAGATGTGATTTTAGTTTATAGATTGCAAATATTTAATTATGATGAAACAAATAATCTTGATGGAACTTCTTTACATAACGGACACATTTCTGTTTGCCATGAGCTTAGAGAAATTGCAGGTATTGATTAGTGGATGTTGTAGAAGGAATATTAAATAATGGCCATCTTTCAGTCAACGCCGTAAACATAGATATATTCGAAAATATGAACGCGAACTAAAAAAGTGTAAATAAAACTCTTACGTCCATATAAGTAAGCAATTACGAATATGAATATCGGTTCCTTGGATCTTTGGTATTTGCAGGTAATATACATTTTCTTTTGTTGGCTTATGTGAAAATAAATGAATGAATTTACCTCTACGCATTGCTCTAAGCAAACACTAACAGTGGCCAGAAAGATAACGAAATCTGAGCTCTGGAACTTGAAGGCACGGAATTGCGATTTCAATACGCCATCCACGGGTCGGAATACCTGTAGTACAAAAGGATCCACAGAACACCTAGAATATAAAATTTTCTATGATTATATTATTTTAATAAGTACATTTTGCATCCTACTTCAAAACAGAATTAAAATTTTCTTATTACCACAGAATGTAGTCACCCTAATACAGTCCATGATTAGCACGACTACTGGAATATATTGCATTAAACTGGAAAGTATTATTAACTGATTTTCGCTTTTATATATATTTCAATAAATCTTCTGTTAAAAACTATAAAACACGAAATTTTAACACGTCTCCTACGAAGTACATGCCCCCCAAAAAAAGGTTTTTAGAAGTGTTGCACTTTATGACAGATTTAAATGAGTAATAATATCACGTTTCATAGCGCGGAACTTTTTTAACAATAATTCTTAATTCAATATCTTCAAATGTTATAGGCAAGCATTTGGCTACTACATACAGTTGTAAATATTTGGAGCAAAACCGAAATCTAAGAGAAAAGTATTTAAACATATGCAGTTTCTCGAAATGAAGTACCTGATTTTTCGCAAAATGAAGTTAAATATTATCTATATACATAATAAATATTCAGCATTACTAATTAATTTAACGGAATTTATGGACAAAATTAGAACTTGAATTTCGCAATATGCACTGAAGCTTCTGTTTTCGTGTTTTCTATTATAGAAATAAAGAAAAATGTGGTACATCTGACAAGTGGTTTTTAGAGTAAATGAAAAATATCTGTTGTGAATTTTACATTAATGTGGTACAAAGCATATAAAAACTATAATGTGTAAAAATGAAAATGCAGGATTTGGACAATAAAACTGATGCATATGATAATTATAGCAGCCATATATCCAGTTGGAAACCCTGAATGCTTCTGAATTTCATCAACATCAGCAGAGTGTAAAGTTTGAGTTCTTAGAGATATTAGAAGTACTGACCTTAAACACTGCGAAATACAGTACGCAAACGGAGATTTTCTCGGAACTCAAAAGATGAGAAAATATCGGTTATTGATGTACTCGTCACCAAAACGTTTAATGTATCAAAGGTGCAGTATCAGAGTCATATCTAAGTACTTAATGAGGTAAAACCTTTTGTCCACTCGGAGTAATTATCAAGATAACAGACGGATAAATCTGAAAAGTATGTTAAAGTGTTAAAAAAGCGGTGTATCCAAAAATATAAAATGGCGACTACTCAGATTATGGCTAAATTCTTCTTCTGGCACCACTTTTTCTGAACCGCTATTCATTAGCAGTTACTTAAGGTTAATTATCATTGTACATAAAGCAAAATATCCATTTCTTAGAGATCAGTCCAACTTAATTGCCTTTTCCATTTCTGTTAGAGTTTGTGCACAGAGAACTGTTGACTACGGACTGCTTTACGCTCAGAGTGAAGCATGAAGATAAACCAAGGTTACTTTAATACAAGGTTTGCTCTTCCATTACATCACTAACTCAGAATCTGCACAAAAGATACTACTCCCTACTCTCTACCTTCCTTGTATATCGACCTTGAAGGGGACTGTGGTATGTTTGTGTCAAGGAATATTCATATTTCTTGACAATTACAGCATTTTCAAAGACTACTGATGTATTTTAAATGATTAAGTCCACTAATTTGTTTAAATATTGTATTCTGAAGAAATGACCTCGTATGAGTATGACAGCGGAAAAATTCACTCCACAAATGTGGTGGCAAAGTAGCTCGAAAATATGAAAGTGATCTTTATTATCTTTCATATCCTGCACATATCAGCAGCATCGTTTTGGATACACTTGTGGACAAAGTTAGAAAATATTTTCTTCTTCCTAATTCCTGAGAAGAAATAGATGCTATTTTGCAAGAACACAATTTTGCAATAAAATACTTATGATGATTGTATATGAGTTGCAACTATTATTTCGAAGGAGAATCTACACAGTATGGATCCTGAAAAGAGGACTGCAGCTTACTAATGAATTAATCACAATCCAAATGCAGATACATCTGCTTCTTATTTATTTAAACTTTGCTGTAATCTGTATAACTATAAAAATACGAAATTTTGTTCTTTATAAACGGTTTTTAAGGGGGTTCATACACCTTTAACCTGTTATGATCTTCGAATATGTCACTGTTGCAAGAATTTGGATATTTTATTCATTTTAAAAGCAATTACTTCCAACTTTTTACAGATGACTATATAATATAGCTGCTTTGCGAAGCAGTAACTAGGAAGTTTGTTGCCACAAATATTTTTTAATTTAATTCGTTTTGTGACAAAACACTTCGTAATGTTTCCACCTTGCGCGCATGATATTTTAAAAATGGCTCTGGTATATCTTAATTTGATGAATTCTTTTATGGCACTATTTCTAACTGAACCAAAACGCGATTAATATTTTAATATTAAATTTTATGCATGAAAACATTATAAATTTTTTAATAAATGCATTTTATAAACTCAACTCCAAAAAAAAAAAAAAAAAAAAATTAACATGAAATTTTGAATTTTTGATTCACTGTAGTTCCAAATGTTATAAAACCTATATATTAAATATGGAATTAAATTATGCAACAAGATGTTTTAAACTGTGCGCGCAAGGTGGAAACACGACAAAAATTTTGTCACAGCGGTTAAATTATAAAAATATTTGTGCAACAAAATTTCTGATTAGTATTTCATAAAGCAGCTATATTATGTAGTCAGCTGTAAAAAGTTGGCAGTAATTGCTTTTAAAATAAATAAGTTATCCTAAATCTTGAAACAGTCACATATTCGAAGATCTTATGAGTTTTAAGGTGTATGAGTCTCCTTAAGGGAAAATACGCATTCCATTAAGATGCCTTTTTTTCGCTAGAAGATGAAGTACTATCCATGTAATAGAAACATAAATAAAGTAGAAAATTACTTCATTTGAAAAAGAATTTTCTTCAAATTTATATATTTATTTCTTTATGCAATTATTTAACCTTTTAATAAATATGCCTGAATTAAAAATAATAATGTTACACAAAAGTAAGGCAACATGCATAAATTTTCAAGATTTACTACTTATCTTAGGCGTTAAGTAATCTATAACTTTCTTATTCACTTTACACGTCGTAAGGATTATGTTAATTTTATTAACAGTTAAATTTTAAGTTAAAGTTCCTTTCCTGTTAAATTCTTAACTTCAACTTACTACTTTCGGCCAGAACGTAGTTTTAGAATCATGTCTGAATACATAATGAGGAAGAGGGTATTTAACCTCGAAGTTCTTTGGTCTTAGCGAGAGAGAATCAGAGTTTCTGATTTACGCGCGTCTGCCTTTTGGCCTTTCTCTCTCTCTCAAATCTGTTATTACGCTCGGCCGTACTCAGGCCCTTGATAAGCTTCGTAGTCAAATAGAGTTAAGAGGCCAACTTGTCCAGAATCTTGATAGCTTCGGCTATATTTCTTTAGTTAATCTTAGTTTTAGTTTAATTTTTAGTCTCTTAAGTTCAAGCCCAAGTGTCGGCTTTTATTGTACACTCCAAGACGGAGTTTTGCTAAATCTTATTGGAATAATAAAGGGTTAGTTACCCTTCCATCTTGTTGCTTCTTGTCACACGAAGTTAAGGGATTATTCGCTAATTAGTTCTTAATATTCGTCACTTTCTACAGTAACTGAGATTTACACAGTGAAAATTTTACAACGTAATTTTCTCTTGTGTAGGACTTTATTCTTATAATTTATTTTCAGATATAAATAACGTAATGTAGAAATTAACTGCATTCATGAAAAAATAAAAAGAAACGCAGTGATTACTGATATAGGTATAATCACAGGAATGCTGGATATTTTCAGACACTCTAATGACTCTTTTTTACCCAAACATTAAACAACTCTGAATGTTGCATTATTCAATCCCCTTATCTATTCGTTCTCGTATGAAGCACCACTTTGCATCAGATCGATATTCGTCCGTGAATAGTAAAGAAAATTAATCTTGACTTAGCTAAAACTGCTAGAAAAATATTGATCTAAATCAAAAAGTACTTTGTAAAGTTTACTTCTGTAACACGGCTTTATTTTTAAGATGAATTCCACGTTGGCTTGAGTTCTTTATTTCTCCGTTTAGTGTTAAACAGAACTCAAAATTTTCTAACTAGATAAGATTATATTAAAATCGGATGAGCAAAATGTCCGGACAGTTGGGTTTCATTTTATCTATACATCAAATATATATTTATTGTGTGAGTATAAGTGAGAAAATTTTACATAAATAAAGGCCTTTCATTTCAATAACATTTAAAAGTAAAATCTTACAGTAACGAAAAGCAGACTAATGTCTTTAATTCCACAAAACAATAAAAAAGCATTCTTTTAGCTAAAATATGCAATAAAAATTATTTGTCATTGAATAAACTCATAATTTTTTCCCATTTATAAAAATAATTTTTTTTTGTTTCTTTTATTTTCCCTCAGGTTAAAGTAAATTATGTTATTATAGTACTAAAATTATAAACAGTTTTTATTGTCTCATAAAGAGGCATAAATTATGCATATTCTAATATAAATAAATAAATATTAAAATAAATATATACATTGGTAAATCTTGGTAAACAGCGTAAGCAAATGGGAAAAGCGACTATAAAAATGCAACCCGAAGATTTTTCACCACAAATGATTTCAAAGGCAAATGCTGATATACTTTCGAACATCTTATGCATGGAATAATGTAAGTAATATGCTCAAGAGGAGAAATATATATATGTGTGTGTGTGTATGTGTGTAAAATATAAAAATAGGATGAAACATTTATTAACAAATTAAAACTTATGGACTAAATTGACAATAGACCCATTAAATTACTAATTTTCATTTACAGTAACAACCCCTTCAATATATTTGAACTTTCTTTGCAGTATCCGCATTGCCGTAAACGTTTGCCCAATTGCTGCTCAGGATTAAAGCGAAGACATTACAAGCGTAAATAGTAGCACAACTGACTATACATCCTCTTTCCCAACTTCGCCTTCCTGCTGGCAATATGTCGCTTAGCCACTACTAGCTGTTTTTCACT